AATTAATTAATATTTTCCACTGAATCTGAACTGATTTAAAAAAAGGAAACATTACTATAAAATTAACAGAAAGAATATAAGAAAAAGAAGCTTATTTGATTTTTATCATTGAACCTGTTTTGGCCCTACATTGAAACTATTTTAAAGCAACATTGAACCTGGATTGAAAATATTCTGTACCTACATTGTACCTATATTGGATCTATGTTGAATTTATATTGAACCTACATTTGACCTAGTGTTATTAACGGTCGCAACCTACATTGAAACTACTTTAAACCGATATTGAACCTGCATTGAAACTATACTGGACCTAATTTGAACCTAAATTGAACCTACATTAGACCTAGAATAATTTACATTGAAACTACTTTAAACTAACATTGGATTTACATTAAAACTATATTGTACCTACATTGAAATTATATTGAACCTACATTGAACCAATATTACACCTACTTTAAACCTACATTAGACCTAGTATGATTTACATTGAATCTACATTGGAACTACTTTAAACCAACTTTGAACCTGTATTAGTCATGTTAAACTGATATTGGTTGTTGGTTACAAAGATTGGGCCAGTATTGGAGGTCCAATCTTAGTAGCCAATTATTAATCAAGAATTTGAATATTCGTTACACGTCTTGGCAATCAATGACAAACCAATATTGGATGCCTATTAATGGTTTTGGTTGCGCTGCATTTATAAATTTTAAATCGTAACTGCCCAAAAATGAAAGTTTGAAATTTTTGTTTTCTTTTCGAATATTATAAAGAAATAATGTTCTTTTATCAAGAAAAATAAATTAAAAAAGTACTTTATAACAAAAAGCATAGTACAAATTTTATTAGAATTTTTTTTAATAATATATCTATATTAATATGCAATACTAAATAATTATAATAATTGTATTATAATAGCGCTAATCTTCAAGTACTTTCATTATTCTCTGCTAGGTCCGTTACCTTTTCTAAAATGTTTGTATTGACACTATAATCCGCGTAAATTATCAACTATTGCCTCTCTACCTTTGGCTTGCGGCCGTCAAATTTTTGAACAGCTACTTGTCTAAATTATTGTCGTGCATATTTCAAAACATAATCTCTGTTTTTGTATACTATTTATAGTCGTATAAAACGTACTAGTTTCTATCCAAATAATACTGAAAATTAGTATGGACCATATTAATTCTTGGTATTATTTGGTTAGAAACTAGTACACTCAGAGAAATGGTATATTTGTCTCCGAGCCTACTAACTCATTTATTTGTTAAAAATATATTTCATTTCATTGAAATAAAAAATTTATTTAAGCCAAAGAAAAATTTATTTCTGACAAATAAAATTTTTATTTACGCCAAATAAATAAGTTAGTAGGCTCTGAGACAAATATACGTTTATTTAACTCAAATATATTTTATTTGGTTTAAATAAATCATTTCTCTGGGTGTACGTTTCATACGACTAAATAATACAAAAACAGCCACAGTTTTCTGAGGCTCTCAAATTGAGACCATAAACAGCATCAAAACGTTGCATTACCAACAATTTGATACACTTTATGGTCTCAATTTGAGATCCTCAGAAAACTGTGAGATTATATTTTGAAATACATTGTATTAATTTTTGAAATGAAATTCAGTTACTCATTAAATCGTATGTATACTACAGTCTCAACGATATTGCGTTTTTATCACATCAATAAAATCCAAAACACACTGCGGAATTTATAAATAAATTCCCAACAATTTCAATAACAATGTGTATTTACTCATTCATTTATTTATCATCAGTATAGACTCAATATTATACACGCGTTCAGTATATCTCCTGCGTTTAAACAGCAATATGATATGTACTTAAAAATCTGCAACTTCCACAAGATGCAAAATTTTAAACAATCTGTATATTATTGACAGAGATGATATATTTACGATTTTTCTTCATCACCAAGAGAAAAGATCTCAAGGAATTTGATCAGTTATATACATCGTTTCCTTGGGTGAAACTAGTCTAACCATCCAGTTTTTCCACTTTACACATATCCTTCGCGACTTCTTCGAGAGATAGACTTGAAATTGCAACTAACATACAACGAAGAAACACAGCATCCAAATCGGTAACGACGACCAGGAATTTTTCAGGTCGCGTTCCAAGTTCCAACCGACGACAACGACAACGACAACGAGGCTCTAAAATCCCGCAACTTGTTGCTTCAACCTGCGAGATATAACAACCATTTGCGATATATCACCGCAAGGCCTTTTACAACCTTATAACGTGATTGATGTCAGTACTTAAGATTTATATCTGGCGCTAAAAAATCTCACGTATACATATATAATAACAGATCGCGATCACGTGTGTTGAATTTTTCCAAAAGAAACTCCATCTAAATAAGAAAAAAAGAATTCTTTTAGTTTTTCATAATTTTTTTTTTTTTTATACAGCTCTTCAATACGGATAAACAATGCCTAAAATTAATCTGTTAGAATTTTTATTTCATAGAATTTTCTTTTAGCCGAATTTTTATTTGTTCGAATTTTATTTTTTGATGGAATTTCCATCAAATCGATTTTGTATATTGCAGAATTGTTATATAACCGAAAATTCATTTAAAAGAATTTCTATTTAATCGAATTTTCATTTAACAGAACTTTTTTTGTTCCAACTAACTTCCGTCCGTAATTTTTGGGGGCGCGAATTTTAAAATTATAACCATAATCAGAAATTACTCAGAAAATTTTGATTATGGGTTAATTTTAAAATTCGCGCCCAAAAATTACGTACGAAAATTAGTTCGAACAAATGAAAATTCGATCAAATAGAAATTCTTTTAAATGAATTTTCGGTTATATACACTGAGAAAAAAGGTTTTAGCTGACAACCAAATATTTCATTCAATATATGTGCAACTAAAATTTTTTGGTTGACACAAATAAACTTTAGTTGACAACAACCAAAGTTTGTTTCAGACGACTAAATAAGAAAAATGAAAAAGAATTTGGTAGTCTCAACCAAACTTTGGTTGATGTCAACTAAAGTTTAGTTGTGTCAACCAAAAAATTTTAGTTGCACATATATTAAATGAAATATTTGGTTGTCAGCTCAAACCTTTTTTCTCAGTGTAACAATTCTGCAAAATAGAAAATCGGTTTAATGGAAATTCTATATCAAAAAATAATTCGAAGAAATAAAAAATTCGGGCAAATAGAAAATTCTGTCTAGTAAAATTCAATATCAAATATAAAAATCACAACACATTAATTTAATTCGATATAATTAGACAAAATTTTATTTTTCAAATAAGAATTTAAACGCAGAATTTATTTTTTAACGAATTTTTACTTAACAGAATTTTATATAAACTGAATTTTTTTTATTTACAAAATTGTTTATTTTACAGAATTTTTATTCCGCAGAATTTATCTTTATTTAATTTTTTATTTAAAAGAATTCTAATTTAATCGAATTGCAATTTAGCATAATTCTCATTCTGCAAAATTGTAAATGATTCGAATTTTTGTCAAAAATTCCAATTCACCGCAAATCTTCATTTGACGGAATTTTTATTTATACAAATTGTTATTGAATAAAGTGAAAAAAAAATTTTGATTCTAATTTATCGATTAGTTGCATCAAATAAATATTTACTTGATCCAAATAATTTTTATTTGAATCGCAATTAAATTGTATTTGTTTTAAATACAGAAATTATTGATTCAAATAAAATTTAGTTAATTCAAATAAAAATTATTTGGTTCAAGTAAATATAGTAATTTGATAATAGTCAAGTAACTGATTTATTTGAATCAAATAAATTTTTTTTTCCAGTGATAGTATTCTTAAAATGGAGAATTTTTATTTGTCCGAAATTGCAAATGACCGAATAAAAAAATTTCGGCGCGATTTTTAAAATTGACCAATCAGAAATTATAAAGAAAATCATGATTGGTATATTTTAAAAATTTATATTTATTATAATGTTTTAATATACATCATTTTTTCTGTTTAAAATTTTTTATATTATTTTTAAAAAATTAATTTAATTAAAAATTTTTATTAGATTTTATTTATTTTTTAGACGAAGTTTTATTTTTTAATTTAATATTACATAATTTTTTGTTTAGTTTAATTATCATTAAATAAAATTTTAATGTTATATTATCTTTTGTAATAAAATGACTTTTTCCTGTTGTTAAAACAAATTTTAAATATTTATTTCATTTTTTTTTTATATTATTTTAGTTATTTAAATAAACAATGAATTTATAAATTAAAAAAAAAATTTTCTAAACAATAAAACAGTAAAAATGTATTTATCACGTTTAACAATACTCGCAGTCACGAATAAGGATTCTTTGAAGAAAGTCAAAAAAAAAAGTAGGAGGGGGGGGTGATAAGATTGTCTTTTGTTCCCGGAAGTCAATACAATACGTGTTGATCGAGTGCACGTGTACCGGTCCGGTTGAGTGCAAAATTTATCCCTAAGGGTCCAGTGACCTGAAGACACCAGAATCCGCTTTCGAATTTTCAACTACTACGGAATGCGAAGGAAAAACATTTAAATTGTTCTAAGAAAACCTTGAGCTTGACCACCAGCGAAGAATCTTTTTTTTTTTTATTTTTTTTAAAGATACGAAGAGGCAAAAATATATTTCTCCTCTTTTCATTTTTATTCATTACTCATCGGAGGAAATAAAAATATAACTTCGCATTAAATTTATAACCACTTTTTTCTTTTATAACCCTTTTTTTTCTCGACTTTTAAATAAATACTATATTTATTAACTTATTTTATCTCTCATGTTTATAAGCATTTAATTCCGCAAGTCAACTTTCGCTGATTGACATAATCACACACACATATATAAAACACTTTCAACTTGAAACAAATGCGTAGAATTTGCGCGCCACAAAAAGAGACGAGAGAAAATGCTAACCTAACCTTAAAAAGAGATTTCTATAATTTAATAAGACAATAAAAAAAAACTCACCGAGATCTTCGACGAGACGAAGCATGACACCCCCGATGTGGAGTTCGCCCTTGACACGAAGGCTCCTCTCGACCTGCAGGTCCGTGACGTAAACTCGCAGCACCCAGCTGCCATCCACCTCATGTCCATCGGAATAATACATCCTTTCGGTTTGTGTCTGTTACTATGTAATATCACCACCAAAAAATCAAAACAATTTCCTCACTTCCGCTTTTTTTAAAAAAAACTTATATTGACAACTCTCTTCAGAAAACAAAAAAAAGCCCCCCGCGGTTAACGAACTCGAGACATTTTTCGCCGGCACTCTCCGCGCTCTTTTTTTTTTTTTAATAATACGAAACACGATTTTTTTTTTAATCTTATCGATTCGATAAAATAAACTTTACATGGAGATAAAATTTTTATTTGCCAATAGGGGAGGGGAAATATATACCGTTTTTTTTTCTTTTTTTTACTTGCGTTACACACGATTTGACAGAATGTTTACCTTATGGTTGCGGCACGAATACTGAAATTCAACTGAAATACTTTGGAGTTCGGCGCCGTTCACATGTTTCGGCAATAATCGGATTCCATCGGGTAAACACGGATTTTAACACTTCGCTCAGGGGCGTAGCAAAGTAATATTGACCCCTCGACAGTCGATAAAGTAGATCATTGAGTATTTTACAAAAATAAATAATATAATACAAAACATGATAGAAAATAATATAATCTATTTTAATAACGCTACTTTTTTAATTATTCTAAATAATCAAAGATATAAAAATATTTTTTATTTATAAAATTTCATTCAGTCGATAAAATAGAATTTTGAAAAGTTATTTTTTATATAAATAAAAATAGAATACAATTTATTTAAATTATTAATTATTAAGTAAATAATTTTTTAAAAACTAATATTTAAATTTTATATTTATATTAAATTTTTTTAAATTATTATCCGTAATTTTCATAATTACGGACCTGAATCTTGCTCAGAATAGAAATCATTTCTTTTTCCTCTTTCAACATATATTTGTTTCGGTCATTCTCTCCTTCTTACCAACGACACGAACAAACACCCCTCTTTGTAGATTCTTTCGAAAAAAACAATAAAAATTCTAAAATCATCTTAATTACATAATTGATGTTTAATTTTCTTTTTATAGCCAATAAAATACTATAAATAACATTTTTCCATATACTATAAAATTAAAAAAAAAAAAACATAAATTAATTAATTTAATTGAAAAATTATATTAAATTAAGTATTTAAATAAAGATAACAAACAGTAAATTAAAATATGTTTATAAAAAAAATTAATTAAATAGATAAATTTAATTAAATGAATAAATAGGTTATGTTAAACTTTTTATTGTTCTCAATTTTATATTGTTAATAAAAGTAATTAATTAATTAGTTGAAAAAGGAATAAAAAATTTATTTATTGCATCTTAAAAGATAAATAAAAAATAAATTAGTTATTAATGAAAAATTTTAAATAGTAAAAAAAAATTTAATATTAATTAATTATTAATTGTATATATTATATTATTTATTATCTTTGCTATTTTTTATTATTTTCACTATTTATTAATTTACTATTATTAATTATGTATTATATAATATTAATAATTATGCAAAATAAAATAAATTTTATAAAAAATTTTAATTAAAAAGTAATAAATAATTATTTATGGTTATTTTTTTTTTATTGAATATTAAAAAATGAGCTTAAAATTATCGTTTTCAATACTATAGAAAAAATAAATTATGCAAAATAAATTACAATCGTTAATTTATGAAAAAATTACTTTTGTTTATAAACACTTGCCCCTGTAAACTGTCGTTTTCCATACACAGCTGTAAGACAGAGTACTTTTTTTCAATACCATCTGCAGTTTTCTTTTAGTTTAGAATAGTAGAAATCTTTATTACCTACAGTTACTGTAATTATTTTTTAATAAGATAGTTCCTATATTTTTACACATAGCGCTTTTATCTCTAATTAAAGCCCTTAAAAACCGCAAAGAGTTGACAAAAAAAAGTAATAATAATTTTACAGAAAGTAATAAAACGAATAAACTAATAAATACAATGTTGGAAATAAAGTACAAATGACACAATTTGACAATATATTTAACTACAGGCCGAAAAGAAAATAATGTAAGTTTAATAATTTTATAATGTCTCTTAATTAAAATTTTATCGAAAAAAGTGAGGTTATGTTTTCGGATATTTTGAAAACATTAAAAAAAATTTTAATTTTTTGTTATTATAATTGCTATAATAATAATAATAATTTTTATTATATTTTATTTATTTATATTATTTTACAATTATATATTATATAAAATTACATTAATTATTCATAAATTAATACAGTTAATAAAATAATAAGCAAAATATTAAATGTTTTCTATTTTTATATTTACAATTTTAGAAATTGTTTCGATAATTAATATTTTATTATTAATTTGGTTTAATTGAATTTTATTTCTTTTAATTTTTAAAACTAAATTCGTAATAAAAAATGTTCTTTAGTTTAAGGTGATGTCAAATTATTGATTTATTTCTATAATTAATGTACGAAATGATAAAATAAAAAAAAAAAAACAATACAAACGAAAATCTATTCAGAATTTTTTGAGTGAAATAGAAAATAAAGGAAAAAATGAAAATCATTTAAAAATGTAAAATATATACTAAAAAAACAATATATTTTCTAGTTTAAAAAATATTTTTAAAATTAATTAATATTTGTTGAATTTAAGTTTTTTTAATTAGGAAAATATATAATTGATTAAAAAAAAAAAATTATTAAATTTAAGAACGAAATATATCTAAAGAAAAATTTAAAAAAATTTGAAAATTATATTTCCACTTTGAAAAAAAAATAATAAAAATAATAAAACGTATTTTTAATTTTTAGTTCTTTAATTTATATTCAAAAATATTTTTTTAATTATTCAAAATAATATTCAAATGTGTCCAGTACAAAAAACACAATTAAAAATTTACTTTTCACTAATTTCCAAAAAGTTTATTGTAACTTAATTCCAGTTGAAATTCTTCACGGCTCTGGATTATTGAATTAAAAAAAAAAAAAAACATAAAAAAATACCAATTTCTTCACAAGATGCGACAAATCATAGGAAAAACATTAATATCAATGCGTCGTTCAATATTCAATAATTTTCAATGTTTGAGATATTCTCATCAACAGGAAAAAAAAATTCTCGAACAATTAAAAAATCGTTCACTTCTTTTATTAAATGGTCCTGATTCATCAAATCTTCTACAAGGACTCATTACAAATGATATGCAACATTTTAATAATGGTACTGCAAATATTTATACATTATTTTTAAATATCAAAGGTCGTGTACTTTATGATTCAATAATTTATAAACATCCCGAATTAAATGATTCTTATTATATTGAATGTGATAAAAATATTCAAGAACAATTGCATCGACATTTAAATATGTATCGATTAAGACGTAAAGTTGAAATTAAATCACTCGATAGTAAAATGAATATTTGGACTTTATTTAATCCAAATTTACATGAGAAAACAGTGAATCAAACAAAATTTGAAGGACGTATTTTTCCATGTGGCAATAATGATAATAGTAATAGTACTAATAATAATAATAATAATAATACATCGAGTAAAAAAATGGATAAAATTTCAATATACGAAGATCCAAGACTTGTGAATTTGGGTTTGAGAATTCTTACAGAAATTGATGTGAAACGTGATGATATTGTAAAAAATTTCGAATCAGAAATTGAATTGACAAGAAAAAATTCAAATTATCATGAATTTCGTTATAAATTGGGAATTGCCGAAGGTGTTGATGATTTACCACCGGGAAAACCATTACCATTGGATATTAATGGTGATTATTTGCATGGAATTAGTTTTCATAAGGGTTGTTATATTGGACAGGAATTAACAGCTCGTACACATTATACGGGTATTGTGAGAAAAAGATTAATGCCATTATTATTTAATGATGTGCCAAAAAATTTATTAAACTATGACGAGACAATAGTTAATGAATTGGGTAAACCAGTTGGTAAATTTCGTGGTATTGTTAATCAATATGGATTGGGTTTAGTGAGAATTTCCGAGGCATTAAATTCACAATCACTTGAAATTTGTGGTACAAAAGTGACGATTTTTAAGCCATTTTGGTGGCCACAAGAGGCGCAAAAACAAGAAATTTCTGCAAAAAGCAATAAATGAGTCTTTGATTTTATAAAATGTTTTCTTATTTATGATAATTGTAGTGTATTTTTTTTTTTTTTTGGGCAAATTTAAGAAATTTTGAAAATTCCCCACGCACTGGAATTGATAACTATTTTTGTGACGAATTACAAATTTATATTTAACACAATTTGAATTAAGTATAGAATTTAATGGAAATCGAATAGAAATAACAGAATTTTCATATCGAATAATTTTTCTTAATTTATAAACTAATATTAATAATTTAATTCTTAATACATTTTTATTTAATTGAATTTCTATTTAGACAAACATTGATCGTAGATTCCGTCTAGTTCATCAAAATTTTATTTAGTAAAATTTCCATAAAAAAAAATTTTCATTTAACATAATTTGTCAATTAATTTAATTTCTACTTAAATTCGAATAAAACTGAAATTCATAGAAATGTTATTGAATTTTTATAAATTTAAAAAAAAATTTGTAATTTTTAAACGTTCTTTGTGCCTGAAGTTCAAATGAATGAAAAAATTTGTTTACTACTTTTTTAACTTTAAATTCTATTATAAAATATTACTTTCTATATCCAAAAATAAAAAATTATTTAAATTAAATATTAATATTTATTGAATGTTTTATTTTTTATTGCTAAAGTAATTTAAAAAAAATTATAGATCAAAAAAATGATTTCGTTCATTTTAACGTTTAAAACTTCAAGAACAAAAAGTTTGTAAATTTTTCAAAAAAACACATAAAAAATTATTTTAATTTAAAGATAAGTTTTTATAATTAATTTATAAATCAAAAAAAAAAAAAATTTCGCAATCAACGCATAAAAATATAGAAATATACATAGTATCATGAAAAGCGGAGGTATTTATTAAAAAAAAAAAATCGAAATTTCAAAATTTTTAAAAATTACGAAAAAATTGTTTCTCTACAAGTCCAGGTTTAAACTATTTGTAAAAGAAAATATTTTTTTTTAATTTTTCAAAAAAACATAAAAAATGTTAGAAACAATTTTAAAAATAAGATTTAAATTTTTTAATTACAAAAAATCCAGTTAATTATTGTTCTTTTTTATTTTTTGCATAGTTAGGTACAAAAAGGTTAAACAATTTTTTAGCCAAATCAAAAAGGTCAAATTCTTTTTATAATAATTAATAAGGCTTGGAAATTAAATTCAAAAAATTTTTTTTTTATTTTTTTGACATTTTTATATATAGAAAATATGAACAAGGCCTAGGAATTTTAATTATAACTAAAATTCCAAAAAAAAATTCTAAAAATCTATAAATAGATTTATATACAAAAGTCCTGAATTTATATTTAGCAAAATATTCAAAAATATTCACTGAATATTTAATAAAATAATTAATTAATTTTTAACAAAATTCTTCCAGTAAAAAAGTTAATACAAAAAAAAATGCATTTTTCTTCATTTCATATAAAATAGTATTTTTAAAATTCAAAATTTTTGAATTTCAATTGTAACATTTTCTGAATTAAAAAAAATGTAGTGTGGACGTAAATTGTAAAAATTTCGCATTTAAAAAAAAAAAAGAAAATAAATCTCAAAATATCTGAATGGATTTTCGAATTTTAAAATTGGAAATTTTATCATTTTTGTTCTATTATTTTTGAAAAAAATACGAAAATTATTCACAGAATGGAGGGTGTTCCATCAACATCAAAATATAATGAGAATAGACAAGAAATTCCATCGACATCGACAAAATTAATCGAAAATGAAACAGCAATTCCGTCAACATCAAAAAATTATGAACGAAAAAAAGAGAAAAAAAATGAATCAACATCAAAATACAATGAAATAAATCGTGACGAAAGAAAAACGTTTGCCTGTAGTTTTTGTACATTAAATGAAAAATATGATTATAAAGGCAAAGAACCGCCATTTCAAAAATATCTTATTTATCTCGAAGAATGTTATATTATGCGGGATCCATTTACACCATTAAAACAAAGAGAGGCACTTGTTCTTGGTAGTGATTGTTATTTTTGTAAAAAACCAACGTGTATGGATTGTAGTTTATTTTATACAAAACGTTTTTGTAAAAATTGTGCACTCGCTAATATTCAAGAATTACCTAAACAACTGCACAAGAAAATTAAACAATTTTCCAATGACAGTAATGAAAATACTTTGACCTAATGTTATAGAAAAAGAAAAAAAAATTTGTATCTCATTTTAAATTGTAAATAAAAAGTATTTATGGATAAAAAAATTATGTTTTTTTTTTTTGCAATACCTATATTTAATGGTTATTTTAATTTTACAAAATTTTTTTTATTTTCCAAAATTTTCAAATTAAAAATCTTGTAAAATTTAATTGTTAGACAAAAAAAATTGAACTGATTATTTTTTAAAATTTAATAATTTAAAAAATTTTTATATAAAATTCTTTGACAAATTTTATATTTCTAATAAAAAGAAAACTCCAAAAATTCTACTATTTAATAACTCTCTAAAATTTTAATTTTTTTTCCAGGTGTTTTATACTTTTTTCCTGACTTTTCCAGGTTTCCAGAAAATAATAATAAAAACAAAAATCTCCAATTTAACCAGATGTAAATAATGAAAAAACAAACGTTTTAATAAATTGAAAGAACTTTTATTGAAAAATCGTTGATAAGAAAGTTTAGAAAAAAAAAAAGAAAAATATTAATGGAACGAGTCTCTAGAAGTAATCTAATAACTAGATGAATTTTTTTTAAAAACTATATATATATATATATAAATGGGGTATTTAAAATACCAAAAAAACTTATGGAAAAAAAGCACAACGATTGTAATCGACAATCTTTCAAACGTATGTACAAAAGCGCACACAACATTCATTCACAATAATTGAAACAATCAAATTTTTTTTTTTTTTCTATATCAGTCGAAATCTTCAACACACAAAAAAAAGTTGTTGAGAAAATAAAATAAAATAAAAAGAGAAAATATTTAAAAACAATTTTACGCATTATTTTTCTTATTTTTAGCCATTAATTTTTCAGCCATTACTTTCTTCTTTTTTTCAGTTTTATTTAATTTTTGCTTCTTCTTTTTATCGGCTTTTTGTCCTTGAAAATTTGTTGTTTCCTTTTCAAAAGCTTTTTCTTTCTTCACGGCAAATGATTCTTTTTTTATTTTTGATTTTTGAGGACTAACTGATTCTTCTTTTGTGTTTTGTTTCTTCTGTGGTTTTGCACCTTTGGTGAATTTTGTCTTTTGTGGACTGACAGATTCTTCCTTTACTTTTTGCTTTTGTGGTTTTTCACCTTTGGTGAATTTCGGCTTTTGTTGACTTACAGATTCTTCTTTTTCTCTTTGCGCCGAACCTTGGGAACGTTTTCTCATTCTTCTTTTCGCTGCATTACTTTTCTGAAAGAAAAAAAAGAAGAAATTATTAATTTTTTATTTTATTACAAATAAATTCATGAGTTACAATACTTTTATTACCCCCCCCCCTTTTTTTTCACATGAGAAGAAAGCGTAAAAATATTAATATTCAAATTATGAGATTTTTCGCTTCAATGTAAATAAAAAATACAATGACTTACAGTCACAGCATTATCGTCATTGTTCTTAAGTTTCTTGGGAGATTGTGACTTGTCGAAACTATTGGAATGAGTTCGTTTTCTTCCTGTTCTCGTTTTACGTTCTGTCTCTATGCATGGACTAACTCGAATTTCGCGAGTTTTAATTTTCGATCCATTTAATTCCAATGCAAGAGCCACGGCGTCTTCAGTTGTAAAATTAACGTAACCAATTCCTCGATTTAATCCCGTTTTTCGATCTTTGATGAGACGAACCGATTCGACTTGTCCACATTGCTTGAAATGATTCCAAATTGTATTTTCATCACATTCTGAAAAAAAAAATTGCAATTTCAATAAATATATCATTCAAATTTTAAATAATAATAATAATAATAATAATAATAAAAGCTAAAAAATACCTACCAAATGGCAAACTTCCCAGGAATACTGATTTTTTGATATCATATTTCTTCTCCTCAAGTGTATCAACTCTCAATATATTGTCCTCATATTTTTGTCCATTCATTGCAAGTGCTTTAATTGCCGATTCTTTTTTAAAGAATGTTATATATACATGAACAGTCATTATTTTAGCATGGAATTTTTTCTTTATTGCCGCAACTTTAAGTGGAATTTTTGGATTTTCCGGCACAATTCCACGTACTCGCATTCTTTCAATTTTACCAAATTGTTTAAATACACTGGCAAGTTGTTTTTTATTTGTTGTTTTTGGTACATTACCAACATAAATTGTACGATCATTTTTATTTTCCTTATCAGGCGATGATTGTGAATCAGTTGTTGTCGATTCATCGAGACTAATTTCGTGTTTTTGATTTTTTTTCTTCTTCTTTGGACTCTCATTATCGGATTCATCACTTAATCCCTCGTCATCGGATTCATCTTCAAAATCTTCATCGTCTTCATCCATTTGTGAATCATCGAAATCATTATCATCATCATCGTCCTTTAAACTATCACCTAAAAGATCTTTTATTGTTGGCAAACCATCTTCATCGGAATCGGAATCATCAGAATCGTCATCATCATCTTCTTCTGTTGCTTTACTTCTTGTTTTTACTTTCTCAGTTCTTGGCGGTTCATTATCATCGTCGCTGTCATCCTCGAAATCCTCATCATCATCATCGTCTTTTAAACTCTCGCCGAGAAGATCTTTTACTCCAAGGGCTGATTCTTCTGCTAATTCGTCATCGTCTTCTGAATCAATATCATCTGATTCGTCATCATCATCATCATCATCATCGTCTTCGTCATCGTCGTCATCGTCACTGTCTTGTGAAACTAACATTGAATTTGAAGTGTCCATTGTTTCATCATCACTATCGTCATCGTCATCGTCTTCTGCGTCCAAATCATCGTCATCGTCATCGTCATCATCCGAATCTTCTGACGCTTCAATTCCTTTAAACATTTTTACACCTTTATATTCCGTTTGATCGTCACTATCCTCAAAATCATCGTCATCTTCATCTGATTCATCGTTGAGACTTTTGCTAAAAATATCCGCAACATCGTCATCACTTTCCGAATCGTCGTCATCTTCATCACCACTGACAATATCAGAATCATCATCATCATCATCATCCGAATTATCATTTAATGAAATACCTTCATTGAAACTATCATCGGATTTTTCCTCTTTTTCAACTTCGAGTTCCAATTTTTTTTTTGAATTCAATTTTTTTGGACTCATAATTTTTTTCTCATCACTATTTTCTTTTTGTAATAATTTTACTTGTCCCAATTTCAATGATTTATCTTTTTGTCCTGATTTTAATTCTTGATTATCTTTTTGCGGTGATGATTTATTATTTTTTTGCCCTGATTTTGGCATTTTTTGAATTGATTTCTTTTGTTCGGATATTATTTTTTTTCCAGACATTTGATTTTTTGGTGTTGCAATATTATTTTTAGGTGAATTTGTCATTTTTGTTGGTGAAATGATATTTTCTTTTTTTGGTGATGATAATTCTTGTTTTTTTGGTGAATTTTGAGGACTTTTTTGAAATAATTTTTGTGTTGCATTTCCATTTGTTTCTAAATGTAAATTTCCACCTTTTGGTGTTTTTTGTTGTTGTTGTTGTTGATTATTTTTATTTGGAGTTTTTCCATTTTGAACCATGGCTACTTTGCCTGTTGGTGTTTTTTTAAATTTTGGCGTTTTATTCTTATGAATACCACCGTGTTGTTTGAGATTTGGTGTTGAAACCGCACTCTTTGGGGTTCCGGCAACTTTAGTCATTGTTGAAGTTTTACCTTTAAAAAAAAAAAAATTAAATATTTTATTTCAAAAATCAGATATAAATATTTTATATTACAATTGTTTGAAAACTTGTATTTAAATTATGAAAAATAATTTTTTTTATTTTAACAATCTTAAAATTAAATAATAATAATAATAATAATAATATAGTGTACACATAAATGAGTGCAAAAGATCGATATTTTTAATTTATAATAAATGTAATTAATTATTATAAAATATTTAATAGAAAAATTATGTTTTACTTTAAAAAAAAAAATAATAATAATTCTTACAAATTTCTAGTGTGAATTCAGTAAAATAGGTATTTAAAAAAAATTTTGTAATTTTTTCTTTTTTTGAAAAAGTTTTTCAAAGTTTGATTTATGGAAATTAATTGAATTCATATTTTTGGTAAAATTTTTAAATAAAACTATAAAATTTATTTTTTTTAAATAAATATGCAAAAAAAAAAATTATTTCAGTTAAATAATTCATGAAATAAAAATCAAATAATTAAAAGAATTTATATGTTAGAATAAAAATCAAATAGAAACAGAAAAATAACATTTTGAATTATTCCTTTACAAAAAAAAAAAAAAAAATTAAATTATTCTTCAACTATTCAATCTAATAATTTAAATTATATATTTAATTATTGAATAAAATAATTGAAATTATCTTCAATTGTTCAATAAAATAATTAAAATTATATTTAATTAATCAATCAAAAAATAAGAACATTGTTGAGTTAAATATTTTTTAACATAATTTTTGTATTAAAATAATTCTCAAGATTTTATATCATAAGAATTTAATTTTTAATATTTAAAATTAAATTTCTACTGCTTTTTAATTAAATTTCAAGTTAAATATTTTTTAGTTAAAGCTATTGTGGATTTTAAATATTCGTAATTAATATTTTAATAATATGTTAAATTTTTTTAAAAAATAATTCCAGACTTGAAAAAATTACCAAAAATTAAATTTACTATTTGAAATATTTTTTTTTTTTTTAATTTAAAAAAATTAATTTTCCTCATTCTTTTCATGAATTTTTTTTTTATTTTACTATTTAATTTCAATTGCAATGGTAAAAATGTTTTTTTTTTTTAATGAAAAATTCTACCAAAAGAGAAGTACATTCAGTTACGATTTTTTTAAAAAAAGAATTGCATGAAAAAAATCCGCATTATTCTTAAACAGGGATTATTAGAAAATTTATTATATTTGCACTTTTAATTGTGTTTTTTTTTTAATTTTATTAAATTTATCATCAATTTTTTGAAATTTATTGTAATTATTTTCCTGACCTCTCACTATATAAAAAATGTTTCTTAAATTTGAGGTTACTTTCACAATTTTCAATGAATTTTAAAAATTAAATAATTTTTTTTTAAATTTAAATATTTAAAAAATAAGATTTTTTTTTCACATAATTACAAGTATTTTTCTTTTGACAAAAATATGAACAGAATTAATTCTTTTTTTTTCGTGTATAAAGTCAACCTAACCTTAAAAATGTTTCGATATAATTTTTCTAAATTTTAATAGAAAAAATTATATTTTTCCCGTAAAAAACAGAAACACAGATAAAAAGAAATAAAATTAATGAAAAATATACATTTCTCTTATTAAATAATGTTAAAAGGAAATATTTATTTACCACGTGTGAATTGAGATGAAAACAATTTTAATTGTAACGATAATTAAAAAACAATAAAAGAAACATATTGCGGAAAAAAATTCATTCTATTAATTAATATTTTTTACTTACCTATTATTTGACAATCGAGGAATGTTAAATTTTACAGGTTTAAACTTGTGAAAATCCAAATAATTTATAAGAAATGTACACCGGCAGAAGAAAATGTGACTATGGATGATTGGAAAGCAACGAATGGCAACGGGAAGCGCGAACAGGAAATAAGGTATCACCATTTTTAATTTGACTGTTTTATAATTTCTATTATTTATCAACATTTAATGTATTCGTTATAACAAGTAGTTATCTAATAATTTTATTTAAATGATAAATATTTTTTAATTAAAATAATTGTTTATTTATGAAAAATAGGAACAATTTTATTAAACTCTAATTTGACTCAATTTGTTATTTCTGTTGATTTTACCGATTGAGTTTTTCGAATGTTCAAACCAAACATAACCTTGAAATTGGCAGAGAGTCACATGTGAAAAAAAAGTATATATCTATTATAAATTTTCGATTATTTGTTTATGTGCTTCAATTTAAAGACTTTTGAATTCAAGAAAATTTACAATTATTGTACGTATTTATTTTCTTTAGATTCAAATTGTAGTTATTTTCACACAAAAGAATGCAAAGTTAAAGTTGCCAATATAAATATAATTTTCGAATTCTTTTGTTGTTTTTTATAACTATTATTAGCATTTTTTTTTTGTTATATTAGTATTTTTTATTATTACTATTATTATTGTTCACAATTTTCTTTTTTTTAGTTTTATTATATTTTATAAATAAATAATTACTTATAATTTAGTCATAACATTTTTAAAAAATATCCAATAAAAATTGAAATTATTCCTAAAATATGTGTATATATGAATTAAAAAAGTATAAAAAATAATTTATAAATTTTATTTTTTCTAATTTTTAATTTACCTACTATAAAATAAACAAATTTAATTTAATTTAAGTAAAAAAAAAATAAATAAAAATCGAATAATAGAATATTATATGTCAAAAATATATTTAAAAAAAGAAATATGAATTTCAATTATAAAACTTTGTAATAAGCAGATAATAAAGTAAAAAAAAAAATAATAATAATAATAATATGAATTTCCAGATTTATTTATTAATTAAAATTAAAAAACAAAATTTATTTCTTGAAATTAAATATAATTGTTTAAATAAGGTAAACGTACACAATTACGGCCTAGTACGTTATTACGTGCTATTTCTTTATACTAATTGAAATAAGAAATTGATAAAATGTTTCAACAATTGAAAAATTGCAACACAAACTTTGCTATTTATTAGATCAATATTCTGTGTTTTAATTACATCTATTTTGTTTATGTATTGAAAATAAAAGCTTTTGTCAGTCAGTCGACGACTGAGCTTTGTGCAATACAATATACTGTAAGTGACAGCTAGGACTGAAGGTGATCTTCGTAAGGATATTAAAAGTGAAGTGTGTTTATTTTTTAATTTATTTTTTAATTTGTTGATTAATTATGATCTATTTAAATTATATTTTCTATTGCTGAATTATTTTTAAAAGTTTTCTTTATATAAAAATACTTTTTTAAATAGACGGAATTATGTTCGCTCTTCTCACACGAAGTACATTATTCCGTTTGAAACACGTAAATAGGGAATTACATTGTTTTATATTATACTTATTTTAATGAATCTAATAAGAATATTAAATGTGTTTACATTTTTTAACAAAAAATGAAATTATAAATAAACAAATGAGGTAATTGCGTACTAGTATTTTATTAACCATATTTGAAATATTTTATTAGAAATTATATGAACGGAATTAGGTTCAAAACATTTTATACATACATTCATTATTCCGTGCTATACGCCGTATTTAAGTTTAAGTAAAATGGAGAAAGAGTTTGTTCACAATTCTTTAATTTTAAACTTATTAATTATCATTTCAAGAGGCAAATTTTTAAAAGTATCGTTTTTTATAAGAATTATTAGGTATTGTCACGAAAATAATTCAAGCAAAATGTGAAAAAATATCAATTAAAAATTAATCAAATGAGTGGGACAAACTGGCGCTGGCTTGATAGAGACGATATCCTCATCTACGATGCTCAAGATGTTTTAAAAAAACTGAATCCTCTAGTATTATTTGATGACCGTAAAGTATATATGTTTAATGATTTATAATATTATTTCAAAACAAGTTAATGAACAAAGCGAGTAACCAAAGAAGAAAAATAATGACTGAATATTACAAAAATTATCATTTGAATAAACATTATTTTATTTGACATCTGTGTAAAAAATTCCCTTTTAAACACAATCTTAAACTAATTTTAAGATTATGTTATTAATATTCTTATAAGAATAATTATTATCAAACAAATTGATATTTTATATATAAGTATGTGTGAAAACCTGGAATATGCCGCAATTATGGACAAGTTGGAACGGAATTAGTTACATGACAAAATTTTTAGAACGGAATTACATACAATTGAAAGGATTTAAAAAATATTAAAAAATAATATAAATTTAATTTTTGAACAGATATATAAAATGAAAAATTGAAAATGATTGATTAATTTTTACAATACAATTGTTTTCTTAAATTTTAAGTTACTTGATAAAATAAGAAAAATAAAATTCTCAGGAAGGGCCTTAACATGCCGTAATTGTGTACATTTACCTTAACATAAAAAAATAATTATTATATTATTTTTTAATTAAAAATAATTATATATTAATAAAATAATAGTTAAAAACAAAAAAAAAATAATAAAAAATAATTAAATTATTTTATTAAATAATAATTAAAAGTAGGTAATTGCTATTCATTACTTTTTTTTGTAATATTAATTTTTATATATTTTATAAAATTGAATTTAAATTTATAAAATAATTAAATATGAAAATAATTAAATTTACAATAAAAGTGTAATTAAAAAAAAAATTGAATTTCATAATTTAATTTTTAAAATAGTTTAATATTTAAATGTATTTAATTGTATAATTGTTTACATAAAAATATTTAATTAAAAAATTAAATGGAATTTTACAATAATAAATTTTTAAAAAGTTGAATTATTCAAAATAATATTGTAATTTTTATACAATTAAATTAAAAAAAAAAGAATATTGGAATTTCTAATTGATGTGAATTATCTATAGATAATACAGATATACAGTTTAAAATACTTTTTTGAATTTGGAAAAATTAAAATCATTTTTTATTCTTTATCATTTAATTCTTAAAAAATTTGAAAAAAAATTATTTCTTGTGAAAAATTAATTTTTTTTTTAAATTTGAAACATAAAAAAGTATAATCATAATCAATGAAGACTATTTTAATATTTTTTTTAATAAAAATATTTTTTTAAATTGAAATTTGCGACTTTCATTGCCACGGTTGACGCGGTATTTTAAATAGCATTAAAAAAAAAAAAAAAAAAAACTTCTCTTCGACCCTGAATCATATAAAATTTTTAAAAAACGATCACAGAGAGCTGGTAATTTTCTCGCAACTAATTTTCACCAAATACCCCCTCAGCACAGTGGCTTCAATTTAAGTTAAGCTATTTTAACTTGAAAATTAAACTCAACCACTATGCAGTTTGAATTCATTTTCGCGAGATTCTCCATGTACATTCAACACACACGTGAAATATGATTAACATATATTCGAAACTGGGGTTGTTATACATAAATTTTGAAAATTATATAATATATATATATGTAATAAATTCATTTTAATCATAGAAATGCGGCCACCCAAATTGAAAATCGAGTTAAATAATTTCATTTTGATTTCATTTCGAATTCAAATCATATATAAATGAAATATTCAAATTCGATTTCGTTCGTTGCAAATTTTGAAAATTTGTATATTTAATTTATATTCAAAACGTGAAATTTAAAAAGAAATTTCTCAAATTTTTCATTTAGGGGCCGTCCATAAACCACGTAGCCAGTTTAGGGGGAGGGGGGGGGGTTAAGTGAAATTCTACGATAAACTACGTGGGGGAGGGGAAGGGTTTAAACCATGACTATACGTAGTTGTATTTATTAAGTCATTTATTTTGATATTTTTTAAATTGCGCGGGTAATTCCAATGTCGAATTGAGCGATATATGAATATAAAGTAGAATTTTTGTAAAATTAAATATTTATAAATTATTTTAAAATGATTATTATAAACTTGATGAAAATAAGAAAAATAATAATTGGGTCTCACGAATAATATGGCATGAAAATTATAAAATTGCATTTTTAGTGTTTCGAAATCACCTATGCTTTTAGAAATATTACTTATAATCAAAAGAAATTAATGCAAACAATATTGTAAACAAATTTTTATTAATTAAGAATTCTACAATTTACTAAATTTTCATTTATTGAAATTTTTAATTAGCTATATTTTTATTTATCATAATTATTAGAATGAATTTCACTTTGTCGATTTTGCTGCCAAAACCAAATGATAAATACATTATTATTTCATTTTAACAAACATTTAACTGGTAAGAATGTTTCAGTTATAAACTTATTTTTATTAGAATTAATTTTTAACCCATTAACGACCGCCAGGACGAAAAATTTACCTTCACTTAGCAGCTGTTATTTTATATGAAAAAATAATTTAAAAAATTCAGGATAGCCCATTTCTAACGTAAAATTTATCGCTCTTTCCGATTCTGAAGTCCAAATTTAATTATAATTAAATCCTTAATATTTATATCAATTTTATTGCAAAAAAACATGATTTTCTGCAAAAAAATTTTTATTCAAAAAATATTTTGACATGGAAAACGACAGTTAATTTGCGCCGGAACCAAAAATATCGCGTCCTCGAATACCCAGCTACAAAACTGTATAGTTGCGAATTTCAAAATTTAAGATGGCGAACGACAAAATGGCGATTTTCCACTAAAAAAGATTTAAAAAATACTATTTTGCAAAAAATAATATATTGATGAATTATTTTTATTTCTGCACCATATACTTATGTTTTTTGGGTCACTAAACACGAATACGGTATAAGTTTCCAAAAAATTCAAAATGGCGGATCCAATATGGCGGACAATTTTTTCAAAAACTCAATGGATTTATCTGAAATTTGTTACTCGGGGGTTTTTGGGGTCGCCGGTTACGAATCTGAAGTTACTTTACAATAATTAAACATGGCGGATCCGAAATAGCCTACAAATTTTAAAATTCACCGAATTTGCTTGAAAATCAATACTTATTGATTTTTTATTACTGATCTACTATTTTATTACTGTGTGACCATAAAATTTCACTATTTCTACCGTCAAAGGAGTACTGAAATAATCAAATTGTTTAACATTTTTTATAAAAATTTCTTAAGAGACGCGTACTTTAAAGGATTTTCTGCAGGGTTAAAATTTGTAGGCTATTTCGGATCCGCCATGTTGTGTTATTGAAAAGTAACTTCAGATTCGTAACCGGCGACCCCAAAAACCCCCGAGTAACAAATTTCAGATAAATCCATTGAGTTTTTGAAAAAATTGTCCGCCATATTGGATCCGCCATTTTGAATTTTTGAAAACTTATACCG